CCCCTCCCTCCACCCACCCCTTCCCCCAACCCCCTCCCCCCCCCCCCACCCCACCACCGTGCAGTGCTTGCCATGTCCACCCGGGCCTACAACGCCTTCACGGAGGAGCAGCGGCGGACGATGCGAAGGCACGTGGCGGCCCTGCACCATGCGCCCATCGACACTCTGGAACACATCGGGGGCGGCAGCGTGCGCTGCACGCTGGGCGAGATCTTCCGACCGTGAGCGGGGCCAGGCTGTGGAATGGAAGGGAGTGGGTGTGAAGGGCGGTGCCCCAAATGGTAGGGCTGTGAAGGCAGCCGGCCGCCCTCCTCTTTTGCTAGCGGATTGCTGGCGGCAAGCTCCACACCTCTTGGGACAGCCGCTGCCCGGCTCACTCCCTCTATTCTTGAGTGCTGTTGCTCGTGCTGAGCTGGCCGCGTGTACGCTGTGACTCGTTGCCAGGGAGGCCAAAGGCAGCTTTGCACACCACCCCTTCTCTTTTGTTCCAGAGACCCTCGCTGCGTGGCTTGACCTGATCGCTGTGTGTGTGACAGTATTTTTATAGACAGGGACAGGGGGCATGAGTTGCAAGCGATGGGCAAATCTATTAGATGCAGTGGGGCAGGCATGGCATGGCCAGAAAGGTCGTGGACCAAGAACACACAACCTAACAGGGGACAGATTCTTCGGGTCATGGCCTCCACGCTCTCCCAGCTGGGGTGGTGGGTGCCAAAGACGGGGCAGCGCCGTGCGCTTCCGCATGGCAGCTGGTCCCATGGTGGCGAGGGGTGGGTGCCCCTCAGGCCTTGCAGGTCACCGCAGACGGCCAGTCGCAGTTCTTGGTGGCGGGGTTGAAGAGCGTGGTGGCGGGGCAGACCATGTAGTAGGCGCCGCTGGCACCGCAGTTGAAGAAGCCCTCGCAGCCGCCGGCAATGTCGGCAAAGAGGCCGGTCTTTCCACCAGAGCAGCCGCAGGTGGCATCCTTGGCGGCGCATGCGGCGGGAGGGGGGGACTTCTTGGTGCTGGGAGAGGGCGACTTCTTGGTGGGTGGGGGGCTCAGTTTCCTGGAGGGTGGGGGTGGGGACTTCGCAGCAGGTGGCGGCGATGCAATGGGCGAGGGGGAGGGGATGCAGGTGGGGGAGGGGGAGGGGATGCAGGCGGTGGGAGGGGGGAGGGGATGCAGGTGGGGGGAGGGGGAGGGGGATGGGACGTGGGGAGGAGGGGG